GTCTGGGGTTGAATGTAGTGGGCTGAGCATTGTGTCCAATGTAGACCTGTGTCCTCAGTGGTGTCACCAACCCTCTCTGGCTCCTCCTCGCTTGTCTGTCCTCTATGCTCCACGTTCTCCCAGGGTCCCTGGGTCCTCCACGTCCTTCCCACCCCCGGGAAAACCTGAGCCACTCCTGGCTCAGAACGTTGGAGAACGTTCATGTTAAATGGGACCAAGAGGTGAGGCACTTCCCTGTGGAATTTCGGGCAGGGCCCGTGGAGGGGAGCACCTGGGAACTGTCCGGTTCTCCTCTGCACCCCTCCCTGCCCTGTCGGGGGCAAGGGTGAGCCCACCTGCGCGGTAGGAACTGAGCCTGGATTTATTATACTGAACAGACCACCTCTCAGTGAGTCTGCTTAAAGGAGGTCAGCAGTGGGGACGGGGGCTTCACACAGTGTCAGCCTTGCCTTCTACCTATCATCCTTCAACCCGGACAGTCGGAGCTCTTAGAAAAAAACTTTTTATTTTTGTATCCATTTGCCCTGTTTTCTGAATTTTTTTAAATCGTCCTTTAGCTAGTTTTCTTTAGCAAAGTGTGCCTTAGCGACTAGAAGCACCCCAGCCAATGAGAAGGACTTGGGGAGGAAGGGAGCGCTGCACCCAAGGCTTCGTTCCCTTCAATGGCAGGACCATCTTCACATGCCTGAGCTGGAGTTTACAGCAGTCCCACCCTAAATCTTTACAGCATGAAGCTGCCCGTGGCTAACCAGATCACTAAGGGTTGAGATGGAATGACTTTAGAGGCCTTGCTCCCGCATGTCCCAAACCTCCTAAAGAGGCCATTTCCCTTGACCTGCTAACTCCATTCCAGTCCCTCCCACTGCTCAAGCCTGGTGAGGGGTGGGCTTGTCCTTGCCCTTCCTGCTTTGTGGGTGCTGATTGGTCTAGATTGATTAAGAACTCTTGCTTAGTGATTGGTTTATGAATAAGTCTAAGCCAATCAGCACATGGCTCACTCCAGAAAATAGTTCAGGGGTGATCCAATCAGTGTAAAGCTTAGGCCTTTCACTCTGTCCTCTATGGAAAAGAAAGCATGTAGATCCTGGGGGAGGTGATAACCGTTTGAGACTAACAAAGCCAGCCTGAGGTTGAAACCGAAGCCCAGAGAAGAGCAGAGGCGTCTCCAGAAATGCCGAGAACCGGAGCCAGGGTAGTAACCAAACTACTGGACTTTTCCATTGTGTGAGCCATAAATCCCCACTACCATTTAAGCTAGTTTGAACTGACTTTTGATTGTTGCTGCTAGAAAGCATCCATACCTTCTCCTGTCCCATGGTGCCTGAAATTCCTACCGCTGGCCTCCCACTCCGGACCTCTACGTCAGACAGGCCTTGAGTGATTTAAAGATGGGAGTGAAGAATTTAAGATGAGATGACTTAATCAAAGAATGTTTCTCCAAAGTAGTTCTGAGGACAACTGTACAAAGCCTAGCCTGATCAACGGAATTTCTGATTTCCATTCACATCCTCTGTCTGCTCTCCATTTTTTTAATTATTGTTTTTTTTCCTTTTTATAGAAAGATAACTTTCCACCTCTGTATGTTCAAATACCACAAGCTTTCAAACCCCGGCTAGCTCACCCTTGAAGCCTGCCCTGATATCTTCAGCCGGAAAAGAAAAACAGCCCCCTCCCAGAAACCCGACAGCCCACCTCCATGTGTACTCCCGCATTCGGTTTTCTGACACGCCCCACCGTATACTGCTTGCCCACAGGACACCAGATGGGTTTGCCTTCTCCACGGCTCTAGCACAGTGCGCCTGCGCCTCTGCATCTCTGAGAAGCGGGCAGTTTGGTGATTGAAAAGAACAAGCTTAAGTAGGTTTTTTCCAGGCCAAAGAAATGGTTAAAGCAGTGGTTCTCAGGAGTGCGGTCCCTGGACCACACCATCAGCATTACGTAGGAACTTGTCAGAATTGCAAATTCTTGGAAACTTCTGAATCAAAAGCTCTGTGGGATGGATCCGGTCAGCTGTGTTTTAACCAACTCTCTAGAGTCTGTTGCACTTTAAAGTTGGAGAACCACTGGGCTAGAGGAAGGTGTTAAACTACTGACTGTGGAGCAAAAGAGCTGGTTATCTAAGAGTGGGACTGAAGACCAAGTGAGGATCAAGGTGAGCTGTGTGACCCTAGACATGTTGGTAGCAGCCTAGAGGACATGGCCCTGGGAGGGACAGAGTGCTATATTCAGAAAGGGACGATTTGGAACTATCTCTTCAACCTGTGTCCATCTTTTTGACCTGATGTCCAAAGTCTCCAGGTCATCCTGGGCCATCCCAGGTGGGGTGCATTGGCAGAAACCTCAATGGCGGCTCTAACATTGTTCTTTTCCATCATGTAGGTGGTTGGGCATTTACTCTTTCATTTTTGCCACCCCTAAGATGACATGATAGCTTTCTCCCAAGTTTTTTTGCATTTCTGAATTTACAGATTTCTTTTTTTGGCAGAATTCAACCCAGAATAACAGGGTTTCTTGTGACCCTGTCAGTAACAGTAGCAAAGAATTTACCAAAATGCTCTGGTGTGCATGGACGAAAGCTATGGGGCATCTCAGTAAGGACAACGAGGGCAAGGATAAAGACATGGACAAAATCCTCAGAGCCATCCCGCGAGCTCTGCTGGGACTCCTGTCCACCCCATCCCTTTGTGCCTGACTCGCCCTCATCCCAGAACAAGAGAGCGTCCTGTTCATCATGAGCCCTCGTCACTGACCTTGAAGTTCCCACCACTGCCCCTGAGAGGACCCTGAGCGACCGTCTCTGCTCAGCCACCCAACAACTAACCCATTTCAGAGCATTCTCACCCCACTCCCGTTACAACGCCTGTGTCTAAGCAGAACAGGAATCAACGCAGGGATCCACTATAATCTTTGAGGAAAGGCTTGGCTTGTGCCTGAGTTTTCATAAACATCACAGACATTGTCTTGTATGCAGAGATTTTCCTTAACCTTCCGTTCCTGTGGACTCATGAAAACTCATTTAAATATGGTTCTGTTACGTACTAAAAAGCATTTCTAGGTGATGTCGATAACTGTCTGCCTCAATTTTTAGATAATAAATACATCATCAACCATTTTCATACAAAAATAGTTTCTATTTGTTGTAGGTGCATTCTAAACTAGAACCTTTTTTAAAATTTTGCTCTCTGTTTTCAAGTATAGAATTTCCTTCAAAACAATCTAATTTTCTGTTATTTTTGTTTAATCGTTATCCTAGTGTCAAAAATGTGTAGTTTCTATTACTTTAGAGCTCATATGATGAAAGCATTTTAAAATTCTAGGGGAGAGAAAGTTCACAGTTAACCAAGAGAAAGAACCATGTGGAGAAACTACAATGTGACAGATAGTTCAGGCGCATTTACTCATCGGCCCTGTCAACGTGGATGTTGTTGTCTTCCTCTTACAGATGAAAACACAGGCTGAAAAACTGGGCCAGAGGCAGGAGGTGATTCCAACTGCAACCCCAGAGCCCGAGCTTTATTCCTCAGCAGGACCAGCTTCTCCCCACCCCCACCCAGCTGGGATGCTCCATGGCATCCGCCCTGCAGGGGCTGAAACCCTGCAAGTAAGTGTGCATGGGGCTGTTAGAAAGGAATTAAATGGGGGGGGCAGGGCGGAGGGAGAGGGGAGGAGTGATCTTTGCAGGTGATGAAAATAGGAATTCAGCCATACCTAAAAATCTTCCCCAAACTGCGATCGGACGTTTTGCAAAAACTTCAAAAGGGCAATGTAACTTGAGAGCTAAAACACATTTAGTTTGTTTTAAATCCGGATTTCCAAGATCTGAATGTTTTTATTGCGCATTAGTGACTGTTAATACAGGATTTGTCCATCTGTCGACTCAAAAGTTAGACTACAACGTCGTGGGTTTCCGTTCAGAAGCGTCACAGCCAGGAAGCTCTTTCAATTTACCCCTAGCTCAGATGGGATGCTGTTAAAAAACATCTCTAACCATCCCTGGTTAATGAATCTTAAAAAAAAAACCAAAAACAAAAAAAATGAAGCCTGCCTTTACTCGAGGAAAAGGTTGTGGAAGGAAATAATGAGAGCAAGAGCAGCTCTAACTGCTGTTCTTGCTTTTATCTATTTTTACCTGATCACCAGAGCTCAGTAACTGACACCTTTCCTCAGGGGTCTTCAGGCCTGCATGTGTTCATCAAAATGCAACGCAATGGGGGTGGGGGGCATTTAATCAATGAATTTTTTCGTTGACTTATTGTGGTAAATTTTTTAAAAATCTATGTAACAACTCAAGTATAACATCATGCCTCTAGTTAACGATACTGTATGGTACCCTTAAAAAATTTATTAAGAGAGCAGATCTCATGTTAAGCGTTCTTACCACAATTAAAAAAAAATAGAAAAGGAAAGGAAAGGAAAGAACTATTTTAATGCCTCGATGAATGTTTACAGCAGCCATTTTGAAATGCCTGATAGCTTTTCAGTAATGCGATTCCTGTGGTCAGTCAAGATACTGCTGTGTCCACTCAGAAAGTGAGGGTTTTCAACCGTCATGATAACCCAAGTAAAAGGAATAATGTTTGACTATAGTACTCAAATATTGCAGGCGAAGGTATCTGGGTCCTGTGCTACCTGGATAGTTACCTCAGTTTTTCATGTTACTTTGTAAAGCCTTTACCAATCACTCCTTCGAGTCCTCTTGTATGTTTGTTTTTCTAACTGTCGAGATAGCCATGATGAGAAAGAATCTTTAAAATTGTCAAGCCAAAAGAAGCAGACATAAAAATAATAATAATTTCCCCAAAAGGGTCCAAACTGAAAATGAGACCCTGGCTACTTTAAAACCCTATATACTTAAGTATACCCTAGAGCCTGGGCTTGTTTAGTATCATCCTATTTCCTCGGGATACAACCTGCTTTGTTTCCTATCTTAGACAATGTAAACAACTACATATTGAAAGCACAGCTATTCCTTATGCAAAAACCGAAGTCTGTATACTTACTTTTCAGTACTTTCTGTCCCAGAGACGTGACAGGAGAGCTGGCTTGGCTGTGGGCTCCCCGGCCTGCGTGGGAGGCATTGATTGGGTGTCCCTGTTCCGGGGCCTGGGGGGTCAGAGGACCTACAGGGCTCAGGGTCTTTTCCACGAACAGGTCAAAGCACAGTTGGGTCTGTTTCCAGAAAAGCTCCTATCTTCCTAAGAGGGAAAATTCCATGTCCAGGGAAGTTCTGGAAGGAGAGCATTTTTTCCTGCCCTCGAATGAACTAGGTCATTGCTGAAGCTGGAGAATATTTTTTAGCATCACTGTGATGAAACTTGAGGGCCGTGCCTGCAGTAGGTGCGACACTTGTTGTTGACGCTGGGAAGGCCCTGGCACCGGGGCCTGGTGAGACGCAGGCCCCGTGAGCTGATGAAACCCAGACGAGCTGTCAGTGATGTCTCGGGAGACTGAGCAGCGGTCTGCAGAGTCTGGGCAGGACCTCGGGTTTCGTTGCTTGCCTCTTGGAAGAGCAAAATCTTGCTGCCTGATAGAGTGATTAAGGCCAGGGTAACACCAGCAGTTCTATCAAGGGTATCAGGCCTCTGAAGTTCACAGAGGGAACCCATGGAGGAGGGAGGCGTGGAGGGGAGGCGCAAATAAGAGTCATATGCTGTTCATTTAGAAGTGGTATTGCAGTAGTTCTCTGAAGTTGTCAGAGCAAAGTAGAAACCACAGCAAGGCAGGATCCGTCCTCCAACCTTCCCCCCTCCCCCAACAGACCTCCTCTCTCCTCCTCCCTCCTCCTCTCTCCTCCCCCTCACCCGCCACCACACACACAATCTCTCTCTTCCTACTTCAACTACAGTTACTAAGAAGAGAATAGGGAGAAACCAGAAGAAATCCATAGAAGGAACCATTAGCCCTTTTCCTTCAGAATGTCAGGAATTTTTCCTGTTGGCAAAGTAGGTTTTGTAAAGTGGGAATTTCTTTTACTGAACTTTGTCCAAATCTAAAAGAGAACATAGAAAATCCAGAAGTGCTGTTCTGTAACTAATTTGCCTCTCTACAAAAGTATTTTAATGTATTAAACCTGGAAACTAACAGCTTAGAAAGAAACCTCTTATGAAACTCAAGGAGAGCGCTAAAATTAGCAGCTCAGAGTGAGTGACTTTGAAAGGGACATAACCAAAAATACTTACTCTGTCCTGGGCACTACAGTCCTCAAAAGCACGTTGGTTTTACACAGCACAAGTCCACACATGACTATACCTTGATGGAATAAAATTTTTCACAAGACAAAATTACCTAAAACTTAGTATCAAGGAGTGTGGTTGGTACGATCTGCGTCTCAGTTTTATCTTCGCATGTGACGAAAGATACTGAAAGCTGAGAGACCCTAACATAACTCCTGTCTCTTTGAGAACACGTCTGCGAAACAACGGAATGCAGAAATGACCAAACCTGGTGACTGTAGTTATCAGCTGGTTTTATTTAAAGCTGGAGCCCCTTTGGAGGATCTTTTCAGATAAGAGGAGATAACTTTAAGTTGAGAGTGAAGAGAGGAGGGAGGTGAGATGATAAAAAATAAACAAATATGATGGCACAGCAGCAGGAAAGGGTGAAAAGGAACCAACATCCCACAGCAGTGAAAAATGTGAGACGCTCTTGAACAAAGACTTCTCTGGACATCCCTAAAGGGAAAAGTTGACACTTACTATGAAACTTAATTCTGTTCTGCGCAAACAATTTGAACAATGAACTCCCTCAACTCCTAACATACATCTCCTGGTAAAATAAAGTTAAGGAGAGAGGTCTTCTTATATATATGGACTTGCTGGCATTTGTCTTGGTGTTCATCTCATTAGCCTGCAGTCATAGAATTTCTGTCTTAATCTCAGGTGTAAGGGAGCAGGAATGAAAGAGAATCAGAAACAGAGACCATGGGATTAAACTCAATTAAGCCAGGACGTTGTTCTGAATCTTCTGTGATTATTTGAAGGAGAGGAAAGAAGGAGACAGAAGGAAGGAAGTTGAAGTGAGAAATGAAGCATGTATCTGTGCCCCTCGGGTAGCACTAAAAAATAACACAAGTGTGTGATTAAAAGTAAAGACATAAAAATATTTCGCATCATTCCCAGTAAACAGTATGGAATATAAGAAAATGTTTAAGCAATCTCTTTTTCTGAGGCTATAGGAGAAGGAAGGAAAAAACTTCATTTGTGAAGAGTTGGAAATGTATGTTTGTATTGGATGTTTTTTAATCACTTCTGTAGAAAGACCCTTTGGGCTTTCTTTTCTTGGCCTCTAGAAAGAATAGACACCCTTGGATTCACAGGCCACTCTGGACTTGCAGAGGACTGGCACCTAAGTCAGTTCCCAACTAATCTGCATATGTAAAGCAGATTCATTAGGTTCTTAATCTGCTCCTCACTCCCAAAACTTGGGCTTGGGTGGATACGTGAGGGGTTTATCTGCTCCTTTAGTTCCTCCTGGCATAGAAGGTACTTGAACATCTGTGTCTAATGGTATGAGTGATAAATGCCCTGCCCAGCAGAGTACATTCCTGGCCGAGACCTGGTACCAGTCACATGCTGAGTCGGATCAGATTTTCTGCCAGGGTCCTTGGGCCAAGCTGGAGCCGGGCAGGTTCCTCCCGCTTCACAGAGCAGGCAACGTTTGGGGAAGGACCCCAGCATCGACTCCCTCTCCCTCTCTCAGTAACTTGTCCCCATGCAGGGTCCTGCGGTTCTTGCATTTTCTTCACTATGTGTGCTACCTGGCTCAGTGGCCGTGACTTTGAATTAGGCATTTGCAACCTTTATTCAGTTAAAGATTTTATTTATTTATTTTTAGAGACGGGAAGGGAGGGAGAAAGAAAGGGAGAGAAACATCAATGTGTGGTTGCCTCTTGTGTGCCCCACACTGGGGACCTGGCCTGCAACCCAGGCGTGTGCCCTGACTGGGAATCAAACCAGCAACCCCTTGCTTCACAGTCGGGCGCTCAATCGACCTGAGCCACCGCAGCCAGGGCAGTTCCCTGTATTTTAAGGGGCTGCCAGTCAGTCAGTCATTCATGTAGGCTTATGAAAAAAAATTAATATAAATACAGTGGTGAAAAAATATTAATGTAAATAAGACTGTTCTTTCATGGTGCTTTTCATCCCAGGTAACGATTCCTATAAAATTCTTCATGAGAACATCAAGTTTTTAAATATTTGCAAAATAATAGTTAAATAATTCCATTTTATCAGAGGAACTTTTTAAAACATATGAATGTTATTGGGAATTTGGATTTAATTTCCCCCCAGATTATCAAAACTATAAATGGTAGTTCGGTGCACACACCCTCTTACGCAAGTGTCGACCCATCATGGTCCCGAAGTGTCCTATTTCAGCTACCAAGAAACAAGTATCAAAACCAGGTTAAAATTCAACTTAACTACACAGGACTGTCTAAGTACCTGGGAGGAAAATCCAAACTTCCATGATAAAATTCTGACAGTTTGTTCAGTTTCCTTTAAAAATAAAACAGCCATAAAAAACAGTATTACAACTTTCAGAAGCAAAATTCCAATGTTCACAAATGCATATGTTGAACCGTAGGCCCAATTTCACAGATGTTAAGTCAAATTAACTAGTTGAACAGGGTATGGAAATTTAAATTTTGAAGAAGATTTGCATATGTTATGGATATTATTTTATAAAAGTTTCCTTTTTAAGGCTTTTCTTCTGATTTTAAAAATGCCCACTTATTAATGAAAGTTGCATACTCCGTACTGAAAATGTTTAATATTTTGATTTTGAAAATTTCAAATTTCCCCCCACCTATAGCTAGCCACCATTTTGGTATATTTCTTTCTATTTTCTCTTTGTGTATGTTCATATATAGTTATCTTTTCTGTTCTTTATTCTCACTTATCATAAGCCTCTCATTAAGAATTCTTCAAGAGAGTCTCCATACTGTTCTGTCATTAGACTGTGTTATACTCTATGTGACCAGTGTGCTACTGTTAGGTATGAGGAGTGCTTACACATTTTTGTTTGTTTTTATAAATAATGTGAAACATGTTCTTATAAATAAATCTTTGGGCACATCGCTCTTGTCTAAGGACAAGATGTTAAAAGTGGCTCTAGTGGGTGAAAGGTTATGCATATTTTAAGGTTTTGAAATAGCCTGCCAAACAAAACTCGAGCAGGTGTACTGCGTGTGTATCCACAGCAGGTATGAGCCGCCTGTCTCCCTGAGGGGGACTTGGCACTGAGCGCTGTCGCCGAAAATGCTTTTGCCAACCTCAGAAGCAAAGGTGGTATTTTAAGGCACAATTCTTTGATTACTAATGAGGATAATTATTATTTTTTAAGTTCATTGGCACTTTTTCTTTTATGAATGATCTTTCCAATTTTTTTGGACAATTTTGCTGTTTGAATGTTTTTCTTTTGGATTTCGTAAAAGGATTTCACATATAAGTTGCTGAAAATAGGCTCTGTCTTCCAATTTGTGATTTGCCCTGTTATATGTGTGAAGTTTTGAAATGTCAAAATTATGAATTTTTATTTAATAAAAATTATCTCGAGGAGAGAGGGGGAGTTTTTTTTTTAAAGAGTACAGAGTTTCCGTTTTGCAAGATGAAAAGATCCTGGAGATTTGTCCAGAAGGTATCCAGGCATGTAATATGAAAAACAGACATTTATTGAAGAAGATATACAATACAAGAAACATTGTACAGAGGACAATAACGCCTTAGGCCCCTTCAAAATAGGCACCTGGGGACCTCACACAGTTCTCCCAGTCACCATCAGCTGCCCTGTTTATTTCCCTGAATCTCATTGATGGTCTGAAATCTCTTCCTTTTCAAAGGTGATTTTAGTTTGGGAAAAAGCCAGACTTCGCAGAACACCAAATCTGGGCTATAGGGTGGCTGAGTCACCTGGGTGATTTCATGTTTCAACAAAAAACTCTGCACAAGACATAATGCATAAGCAGGCTCATTGCCATAATGAAGCTGCCAATCACCAGTTGTCCATAGCTGAGGCCTTCTGAATCATCCTAATAGTTTCCATGGAGGAATGTTCAAGTTTCACACAAAATTTAATGCAGATTCGTGGCTCTAGTTGCTCAGTCATTTTGAATGTGACAGCCACACAGTACACATGCTCACTGAAG